AGGCAATCCCTAGAAGTCTTCAAAAAAAATCTTATTTACATATAATTCATTTCTTTTTGAAGCACCTGCATCTTTTGTAACGTATCTAACAAAAGCCAGAACAGGCAAGATTCAGGGAAACAAAAAAATTGAGTGATTTCCCCCCAGTGGCATAATTTTGTACCAGTATACTATAATAGCTTTAAATAAAAATTAGACATATAAAAAAGAATGTATAGAGAAGATGTGATATAAATATACAATACAGAAATGTCTGTCATTGTGTTTTAAGAAGAATCCTCCATTGTGTACAGGCCAATCAATTATAAAGTGATTTACATGTGGATTTCCAGCAGCTGCCCAAAGTAATGGACCATAGAAGCATTCTGTGGAATCACAAAAGTATCTCTGGAGTCTAGTTAATTTCTTGAAGTTTATTGGAAGTGTCTCTTTAGGATGAAAATATATTTTTTTAATCTGCTCACAATGCACAGAATTATCTGGGATTTTGAGAAGAACAAAAATAAAACTTTCTATTCTAAAACTGAAATAGCAAAAATGAAATGATGGGTTCCTACCTCCTCACTGCCTCTCACCCAGATGTCATGCCCCCAGCTGACTTGAACACCCCCATCTTCCAATGGTCTCTAGCATAGCTGGGTGCCTAGGGCCATTTGCACTCAGAAGCCAGAAGCCTGGCCCTGAACCCCTGCTCTTTATATCACATCAGGTCCCTGAGTTGTGCTGCTCTCACATCTATCTGAGCCAGACAGTCTTCCCTGGGAGAATGCCTCCCTAGTATTCCCAGTGCCTCAGCACCACTGGCAGCTTGTAGACCACACTGCACATATGACATTGTAGAGCTAGGTGAGGTCTGGGGTGAAATACCTTGCCAAGTATTCTGTTTTGTTGAATGTGAAACTAACTTGTCCTATTCTGTAACATAGGGCCCAGCCAACCCTCAGTAGAATAATATATTTTCAGTGATTTCTGAAAATGGGACGTGAAGCAGTCTGCCACATGGCTCATGTTTGCACATCTCCATATAGTTACGATTGCTGAATTTGACAGTATAACTCTGAATCTGATTAATTAAGAATGTGTAAAAACAAAGTTCTTGCATTATAGCTCGTTCCTTATCTTTGTGTCTTTTACTGTGATGTTGTAGAACTTGGATCATATGGAAAACTAAAATATTATGACACAATGACTGAAGAAGGTAAGAATGATTTTAGAATTGTACGCACTGGCTTTTTCTTTTCCTTCATTTATGGTGTCTGTTGCTTGCCCATTTTTAAGCTCTTTGTTTTCCTTTTTTGCATGACCTCAGTGACATTGTGTGGTTTCTTCTAAGTTGTGCATTTGTGTCTAGCTTCTGCCATTGTGTTTACTTGGAACTGGAGACGTGCAATACCATGGGTAATTACATTATTCCATTCAAATGATCCAAATCATCCTGATTATACAACACACTCATAGAAACGGTGTCAGCCACGTAAACACAAGTAAATACCCACACCCTCATAAGAGTATGTCTCCCCACACATATCTTGACCTTTTGAGGAATATATAATTTTTATACGTTACAAAACTCTTTGGGGTTTTACATGATTCTTGCCGACAAGCAATCAGAAGGTATTCTGGAATATCTTTCAACACAAGAAATTCCCAAGTGTGTTGCATATCTTGCATTCAGCTTCCAGTATTTCTTAGTTGCCTTAGCTTGCCAAAGATCTCCTAGTTGCTTTGCATGCACAAAGTAAGAGAAAGCCCCTTCTCAGCCCCTCTCCACTCTGGCTCCTGCACACAATTGGGTCCTTCTGCCTTCCTCTCCTGGGTTTATGGTCAGCCACAACAACGTGGCTAAGACATCGGACCACTAAATCTGGGCCCTGTCAACTTCAGGGGAGTGCAGACCCTTGAGCAGCGAAAGGACCAAGGACAGGACTAGACTATGGGAATACTTGCCCTTCCACCAGGAAATAGAAAGAGTTATTTACATCTTAAAAGGCTCCCAGCCTGGATGTTATCTGAGTCTTAGCTTGGGAGGGGGCCTTTGTTGGCTTCTACTAACCTGCCACTGATCTCCACTCTCTTTACAACACCCACCCACTGCCTTCCAGCCCAACTCCCATTTGCCTGGGCGCCTTCTGTCCCTGTCACTTCAGTGTCTGTTTCTCTCTTATTCTATTTCTTTCTTTCCTTCTTTTTCCGTTGGAGCAAATGTTGCTTATCTGTACTGTCCCTTCGTTTTCCCACTACCCCACACAATAGTGGTGTTTTCAATCTCATAACATTTCTTGCTAATGACTGGGCCTTTGAAGTAGGAAAACCCTGAAAGCACTGTCTGGAATAAGAACCAAGGCCGGTCCTTTGCAAGCTTGGCAAATGTGTTTTTGGCGCCCCATGGGTCACCTTTAACATTCTTTATTGACTTGATTCTCTTCCCCTCACACTTTTCCCCATGTCTTATTCTTGTGTGAACAGTTTATCCCCATTATGGTGATAAGCTGATACTATTTTCAAAAAGTTTTCTATGAAATAGTTTCATATCATATTACTAGGTATATTTCCACAACCAGAAAGGAAGAAAAGAAGGAAGGGAAAAGGGAAGGAGGAATAGCTAAATAAACTAAGAGAGCTTTTGACTTCGATTTCTTCACCATGTGGTTGCTGCTGTACCAGCTCATCCATGCAGGGTTTCCAGATCTCTTTGATGAACTGTTTCTTACATTGAACTTCTTTTGGAACCACTGTAGAAATTCTGCCTAAGATTAACCCTTCATCTGGAGTAGGAACCTTTGAAAGACTACAGTCTTCCAAACACCCCCCTCTGATGTCCCAATCAAAGGACACTATGGAACAGTGGTTAAGCCCTCTCAGCTCATGTCCTTTGGCATCTGCCTCCAGGACAAACCAGATTTGGCTTAAACCTAACTCTTGGATTCCATCAAAGATACTCAAAGTCAGGCTAGATCCTTCAGTTGTGAAATGGCCAGACTTTACTTCACATTTTCAAGGACCTCTCACCTCTCACCTGAAAATAATCATTGTAAGGCCAGACGTGGTGGTGCAAGCCTTTAATCCCAGCACTGAGAGGCAGAAGCAGGTGGATCTCTGTGAGTTCAAGACCAGCTTGGCCTACGTAGTGAGTTCCAGGCCAGCTGGGGCTACAGGGAGACCCTATCTCAAAAACACCAAAAAATAATCATCATAACTGTGATTTGCCTGTGCAATATAAAGAAGTGTCATAAAAATGAGGATGTTTGGAGCAATAACTATTGGCTCATTACCTTGAGAAATGCTCTCCTTAAGCATCTTTACCATTTTCCAATTGTGTCTATCCTTTGAGTAAGGCTTTATTGTGATAGCTCATGTGATGAGTCATTATTTATAACTTTTTCCAGGAATTCTCTGGACATGGTGTGAGGTCAGCTGCTTTCAATGAATCCTTTTTTTTTTTCCTCCTTAGTAGATCAAATGGAAAGATACCATCCATACCCAAAGAGGAATGGAACAGGGATATGAAGCCTGTGAGCTTTGCATCATCTCCCCAGCATCATGATCACACAAAGTATACTGTCAATGAGGAAAACCAATGCTCACAAAAGTATCTCAGAAGATGAGGAGACCAAGGCTCAGGGGAGCAAAGTTCACTCAGTGGTCAGTGGTGATGCACGACCTAAATTCAGGATAAGTCACCCAAAGCCTTGCCCTGTGCTGGCACAACATTTCACTGTGCAAGGTAGCTCTGAGGAGCACTGCCATTCAAGCTTGCTTTAGTTCCGGAACCAAAAGTCTTAGTGTCCCCAGTATCTTAGTTTCTTTTGTATTGTAGTAAAATACCCTGACAAAAGCAACTTAAAAGAAAAAAGTTTATTTCAACCCACAGTCCTCATGACCAGGACATCAAGGCAATAAGAACTTGAAGGAACATCACATCCGCAATCACATCCAGAGGATATGAATGCTTGTACCCAGCTCACTTTCTCCTTTTTAACAGGCCTGGATCCCATTCCAAGGAAAGGTGCCACCCACAGAGAGCACAGTGGGCAGATCTCCTTACCTCAATGAACCTAATGAACACAATCCCCACCAACATGCCCAGAGGCTAAATGGACCTCACAGACATGTCTGGAGGCTTGTCTCATAAGCAATTCCAGATCTTGTCAAGTTGACAACACTAGCTATCACATCCTTAAATGTAAGATTTAGGGCATCACAGAGCGGTCAATGAGCTGCAGAATAAAGCATATATCCCTATTGAACACTCTCCCATGAAAAGTTTACTGCAAAAAAAAAACAACATGCTTATACCAGGCAAAGTGACAGTTTTAGCAGTTTGTCCTTGCCCTGGAGGCTTTGTTTCCCTCCTTGAGCACTCAAGTGCCTTAGACTCCAAACTGTAGCAGGTCCTAGACCACATCCATTCTCTTCTACTCTGCTAACCAGATGCTAGTTTGTGTGACCATTTACTCCCCAAGACATCCATTCATTAACACCCAATATGAAGGTGGCACTAGGGTAGAGGCTGGTCTCTGGAGGTCAGACAAGCCCCCTGAGAACTCCTGACTCTATATTCTTAGATAAGCAACTTCAAACCTTTAAAGTTAATAACTCATAGTTTATTTCTCATTTGCATCTATCCAAACTTTATATCATTGTCACATTACAGAATTCTCAATAAATTGACCATAATTTCTTTTCTTAATATTACCCTAAATATAAATGTAGAAAGTTAGTTCAGGGTCCAAGAGATGGCTCAGCAAGTAATGTTCTGGCCACCAAGTCTGAAGACCTGAGTTCAATCTCCAGGACTCACGTGGTAGGAGAGAATCACATGCCTTGGTGCAAGCCCCACCCCCACCTTTACCCTATGTACAAATACAAAATAAATAAATGTGAAAGGGAAAAAATGTTAATTTTTTTTCTAGCTGAACCCAAGGTCTCGTGCATGAGACCAGACTGACCTACATTCCCCAGTCCCACTTTATATGATGGAACAAATGGATTTAAAGAACAGAAGTAGTCATTTTTGTTCTTTGGAGATAAGCATTTTATAGAGAAAGGAAGTGGCTAAGCAGATACCTTGACTAACATTATTCAAATCAGTTATGTTTGGAAAAGTCTGTCTGCATCATATTGTCCTGATATCATTACCACATAACAAGCCATTTGCAGAGGATTTCATTTTATCATTATTTTTTTAAACCAATCATTGTTCATTTGCTTAAGTAAAAAAACAAAGCTGAAAAAAGTTGTGAAAGCAAAAGTAAAAATTATACTTTTCCTTAATGAAATTAGCCTGCTCTGTAGTAACAACAGCCCCTTTACCAAACCAAGACTACATGTCTTACATGAATTACGGTATTCTAAATTAGACAAGTTAGATGAGTCTTAAACTAACCCAGTTTACTATCAAAGAGAACTGGACTTTGGAATACAATTCAGTAGTGTTTTCCATTGCCCAAGATGCATGCCCTAAAACTAAAGCTAGAAAAAGTACTAGGATTATCTGTGGCCTTTGCATTACATTTTAATCCTTGCTTGAATAGGTGAGACCTTCATATACACTCGTATGTCAGGCAGAATTTGTTCTGCAATAAATAGTGGAGACTCCAAATTAACAGTGTCATAATCAGATAGAAGCATAGGATGAGGGTGATCCAGTAGCTACAATAATCCAGAACCCAGGCTCCTTCCACTCATCCTGCTGCTTTACCACTTTCTTATACATGATGAACGTAGCACTGTCACCTCAAGGGCACCTCACAGTCCAAGTTGGCTGATGCTGAAAAATACTACATGACAATGGGCTGTACCCATATTGTAAACTCTACTGTGTAGATGATAGATGGGTAGATAGATAGATAGATAGATAGATAGATAGATAGATTGATAGATAGATAGATAGATAGATAGATAGATAGATATTGGTGATATATATGTAAAATAGCTATCCAAAACAGAAACACCAGCTCAGAGAGTATACATATTAAAAGTTCTGAATGTATTGATTTATACTCCTACTGGAAGTGCCTCAGAGAGCCTCAAAAGCAGATTTAAATAAATTATTTGAAAGATGTTTCCCAACTTCATTGCACAGCAGATAAGCCTTTGTAATAGAATACCTTTTAACTCACTTGTTTTAGAAACACAGATTTTTTTTTTTTTTTTGCAGAATTGAGTTTTTAAAGCTGTTTTAAAAGCTGTGATTGA